TATTTCCCAAGATTGAGCGATTAGTTTGGATTATGATGATGATCAGGTGTGTCTTTAAACGTGATGGTTTTTACTCACCTGTGGATCATATCATTTTTCTGTTAAAGTCTATTAATTCCTGGTTTATCATGCAGTAAGCCTGTTCCTTAGGTAGTAATCTATTCATAACTTGTCATTAAAAACCAACAAACTAAAACCTAGAAGTAATCTGGCTTGTTTCTGTTTTCTTCAGAGAAAGAAAAATTTTTATAGTGTTAAGAATTCTCTCAGACAAAGAAATAGCATCTTGTTGTTAGATTAGGGATCAACTCCATGGTTTTAGTGCCCATTTATGGCTTGTGGGGGGGACTTAGTTGCCATGAAGACTTGAAGCTCTGACATGAAACTCAATGATGTGTTTAAGAGATATTTCAGCCTAAAAGTCCACATTGTGGAACTATTTTATTACCAATTAGCTTGGCCACCTTGCTCATGAACTCGATGGGATCTAATTAGAATCTGTCTTATTGTTTAATATTCACTTTTAATGAGCAGCCCTTTATACTTTGTCTTTTAGCAATCCCTCTTCGATTGTCTAAATAAAGATTCCTGTGCTAAAAACAAAACAAAACATCAGAACATTAATTTCTTTGACACACATTAGCTGATAAAACTGGTATTAGAGAATAATGGTGATCATTTCGTTGGATCCTGTATCCTTTATTGGAAAACTTTTCAAGAGTGATTTTCTCCTTATACTGGATTTTAAAAATAAAGGGGAGAAAGCCCCCAAAATTATATTCTCAGTTTATGTTATATTTATAGTCAATAAAGACTTTTTTTGGACAAGTTGACTTTGACCATATACTGAAGTCTGTAGTCATTTAAGCCTTCCACCTTGTGTTTAATGACTTGAGACCTATACTGTGCCTTCCCTAGCAAAAATAATTGTTCTGTTGTCACCCTGCTTAATTTTTGAACTTCTATTATTTTTCACTATTATGTCAAGTTGGAGCAATACCTATTTTTGGATAGTTGTTGTGATAATTAAAGAGCAGCATACAAGCACTGTACATGTGAAAGGACACTTCCTTCTCTTCCTTGACCAGCTATGGGTGTGTCCCCCAAATTGAACCTCTTTGGGGGTAACTTTCTCCCCTTACTATGGGTTCATATCCTTGATCCACTAATTTTAATCTCTGTAAATTTGCATAGATCTTCTCCTTTTCTTCAGTTTCAGATTTTTTAAAATATGTTTTTAGTTGTAGATGAACACAATATTTATTTTATTTTTGTGTGGTGCTGAGGATCAAACACAGTGCCTCACATGTGTTAGGCAAGTGCTCTACCACTGAGCCACAATCCCAGCCCCAGTTCCAGATTTCTTAAACCTCTTAAAAATGTTTTCCTCCCTTCTCACCTTCTATTTTGTGATCTTGAAATCAACACACTTCTTTATTTTAGTTTTATTTCTTTCCACTTTAAAAATAAACATTTAAATGAAAATATCGGGGGCTGGGGGTGGTAGAGGCCTTGGCTTCACTCCCAGCACTGCAAAACAACAACAAAACCCAAACCCAAAAATTACATGTGTAAAAATATATGCAATATATATGGGATGTTTTTGGAATAATTCTGCTGTGTACTAGGAGGAGACATTTTGGTTTCATAAGAATAGGAAGACATCCCAAAGACTGCCTGAAACGCTTGGTGCTTTAGTTAGCTTCCAGATCTCTGGTCAATGATCTCACCAATGTGAAATGAAAGTTGAGTCAAACTTCTGAGCTTTGTTGTTGTCTTAGGTTAACAAAAGCTCTTGTTTTGTGGCTTTGATGTTGTGGAAATGAAACTGTCAAATTCAAGCCACTTGGGTTGGAATACCATTGCACCTTTCTTGTTCAATATCAATGCTGAAGAAATCTGACCACCAGTTTAATGAAAGGACACCATGTGTTTTTCTCTTTTCCAAGATGTCCTTGTTTGTTGCAAAGTTAGCCTGATGTCTTGCCTTTTGAAAAATAGTTTGCATTCTACATTTCGTGGAAGAAATCCCATATGTGGAATGACTATCTTTCAACTGAATTCTTAACAAACTGAATTTTTGAAGCCATCACTTTAAATTTCCTTTTGCTTGTTTTATCTGTTTCCAAAAAAAATCCATGAGGCATAACTACAGAAAAGCAATGTTTTGCCTCTTTTAGCATTGACATTTGTTTTTACTAAGTTGATTCCTCTAGGCTCTCAGTTATATTTTTCACAGCCCCTAATAGGAGCTTCTTATTGCACCAGGTATAAAGTAGATAACAAGGTTTTATAACCCCAAAGGAACTTTTTGTTAAGTAATTCAGCCAAGGAGAGAAATAAGAATAATCAATAAAAGCATGAAGAGAAACCAGTAGGGCTAGATGGATAAAAGCTATTCTGCAGTGTCTCATTCTAAATTCTCTCCCAGCTCTCTCCAACCCACACCTATTGAGGACTAACACATTACTTTCTTTATTTTACTCAATAACAATAACTACTGCTTCTCTTTGAAGGGCAGATTTCAGCCATTGAATATACACACCATTTTTGAAATCCCAAATTAGAGAATATAATTCAAGAATAGAACATTCTTGAATGGTCACTACCTACAGGAACAGAATTGGAATTGTGATTTATAAACTGTGAAAATAAATGTATTACAGATTCTGAGTTAGCATATTTTTTTTCAATGTCCTTTCCTGAAAGTTTTATTCCAAAATATTTTGAGACAGTTTATCCTCTGTACCAAAAAAAGTAAAGTTCGTAGTTAATTAGTATAACAATGGATTAGAATTTAATTTTCTTAAGTACATGAACAGAGGCATTTATATTTAATCTTTAGAATTTGTAGATAGATTCAAATAATAATTAATGAAGAAATAACTAGTTTAAATGATTAGAAACAAGTTTACAACTGCCAGATCCAGGTATATGGATAAAATCACTGATTTATGCTTGTCATTGAAAAGGCCCTAAGTATCCAGAGCCATTTGCTTAATTGGGTAAAGATCCAGTTTCCCAGGACCATCCTGGCTCCAGGACAGTTGTCTTTGTCACTTCTCTTATGCCTGGCATGCCTTGAACATGGTGGACAGTCATAATTATTAGCCATTACGGAGACTTACTATGTGTCAGGCAATGCAGAAGCTGTGTGCACATTAGCTAGTAAGTGTTTGCTGAGAGTTGAAAGTCAATGCAGTCTTCAATACACAAAGAAGACCTTCTACCTAGCTATGTAAGGGGACCTAAATATTTATGGAAATTTCTTGATTTTTCATTGTGAGTGGATTTTGACAATTTCCTTAACATCTCTTGACATGAAATATTTAAGTTGTGTTGATAATCTTGAAAAGTGCTGTTTTCTGAAGTATTTGGTGTTTAATGCTATTTTAATAACTTTACAATGTACACTATGTAAAGATCTTGGCAATTCCTCTTAGATGCCTTATCTTGACGTTAAATAAAATTCATACCAGTTTGCAACATAAATTCACTCAAGAACTATTAAAAGAATCCCTATTCAATATTGGGGGAACACAGCAAGGTTTTATAACTTTCTGATCAGTAAGATACTTTAAAGTATCAATGATCTTGTGTGTCATTAGAATAAATTTATTTGTGAAAAGTATTATAACACCCAAGAATTACATCTGCTGATTTCTTTTATTATAAAACCTGTCTTCAAAAAATCAACCCATTACAATTACTATATCTTGCAACTTGGTTAAATGAAAATGGCAAACTATTAGGGATTTAATAACACATATTTGGTATAACCTTTATTAATGTAATATATACTTTTTCAAAACAATGAAGGGCATGCTACTAAATTACCTTCATTTATAGCTGTTTTCTGGTTACAAATATTTAAATATATAGAGAAACACATGCAACTATGTCTTTTGATTTTGTTGAGATTTTATCTAACTTCTGTGTTGGTTTCTCTAGAAATCAGAGTTTTTTTCAAAGTTCTTCAAAACAGAAACTGTGTGTTTTGAGTGCCATAATTGGTGGTGAGGACAGCACAAACTGAGTAAATCTCATTTGATCCCTTTTTGTTTGTTTGTTTGGTGCTGGGGATTGAACTCAGGGGTGCTCAACCACTGAGATATATCCCCAGAACTTATTAATTTTTATTTTGATACAGGGTCTCACTAAGTTGATCAGGGTGAATTGCTGAGGGTGGTCTTGAACTTGTGATCCTCCTGCCTCAGCCTCCAGAGTCACTGAGATTACAGATGTGTACCATCACGCCTGGCAGATACTTTTTCTTTCTTTCTTTCTTTTTTTTAAAACATAGGTAATGTGTATGAAATTCTTTAAGTGGTCTTGTTCCTCAGGCTTTAGTAAAAAAAAATACTCAAATAACTTACTTAGTCATGACTTATAGTCAAAAAGGAGAATTCATGTATTCTATATAAAGTTTTATTTAAAGGGTATAAACTTTGTACTGATAATTACTGAGCAGTCATACATTATTAAACATATGTTTTGTTTATCATCTTTGTTAAAGTAACATTCAGCTGTATATCTTAGTATTGAAAGTATCCATTATATGAGAATCACTCTGAAAATATTGATATTCTGCCATTGGTTTGGCAAACTAATTAAATTCCTTTAACATTCTTATTTTTATTTTGGAAAATGCCTATAAGAATGACATGTACAAATAAAAACATGATTTTGTTAAGGGATTATTGGAAATTTTTGTTTTGTGTTTACATCATTTTAACATAGTATCTATAAGAGTAATAAAATATTTAAAATATAATTTGCTGCATGCTTAACTGATTTTTTAAAAAAAATGTCCTTAATTACTGAGATTTGGACTAATCAAGAGATTGCTTATAACACTGCTACTCAAATTTCACATGACACTGCCAAAAGCATTTGTTTTCTGAAGCTTCTAGCAGAGCATGAAGCCTCTTTGAGGGTTCATTGGGGAGGGGTGTTTTAAAGCTAACTCTGTGGAATCTGTGTGTGTGTTTCATGTGCAGCGCCTGTTCTCCCTGGAGCTTACCAGCAAAGCCATTCCCAAGGCTATGGGTACATGCACCAGACCAGTGTGTCATCCATGAGGTCTATGCAGCACTCACCAAATCTAGTAAGTGTCATTTAAAGTGTTCCTACCTGGTCTTCCCATTTTACCTCGAAAATACAAATGCACGTGGAATACATTTGAAATGCTGATGGAGCATTGGAGATCAATGGTGACGTGTTGCCATTTATACAACTCTTTCAAAGGAACGCCAAAAATATATAGGTAAAGCTTTCAGAAAGGAAGGCATTAGTAGGCATTGTATGAAATAATCAAACGTACAAGAAATCTATTAGTTAGACATCTTAATGTGATCATGATTGGTATTAGTCAATTATAGAATCTTCATTTAGGACTAAAAAGGTACAAATATTTAATGGTCTTATTAATGAGTTAACCTTGATGATCATCAAGATGGCCATGGAGCTGATATAATTCTACTAAAATAGCTAATAGGATTTTGAATGTTCCCAACACAAAGAATTGATAAATGTCTGGGGTGATAGATCTGCCAGTTACCCTGATCTGATCATGATGCATTGTAGACATGCTTCAAAATGGGCTGCACTGTAGCCCATAAATTTGTACAATTACTATGTGTCAGTTAAAGATGTATTTTTGGAGAAAAAAAGGTCTTCAAGTCCCCCTGTTGAAAATCTTGAAATCTTTGAAGTCTTTTTTTTTTTTTTTTTTTTTTTTTTTTTTTTTTGCGGGAGGCGAAGTAGTGGGGATTGAACTTGGGTAACTGATGATCATCAATTACCGGGAATTGACCATTGAGCCACATCCCTAGCCCTATTTTGTATTTTATTAGAGACAGGGTCTCAATGAGTTGCTTAGCACCTCAAGGTTGCTGAGGCTGGCTTTGAACTAAAGATCCTCCTGCCTCAGCCTCCTGAGCTGCTGGGATTACAGCCATGCACCACTGTGCCCGGCCATCAGAAATCTTGAAATCTTGATAGATTAATTCAGTGTCAAGTTTGGAAGCAGTACTTGAGGTGATCAAGTTATGCTTTGCCTCTCATACTGAAATGGCATTTCCCAGCCCTATCACAGTCCCTTGGCCTTTGTCAAACACTTAGGAACATGCCACTTTTCTAAGCTGTAAGATAATTGGTACAAGTGTCTTGATGTCCCAGCTGGTTTCCTCAGCCCATGAATGCTGTTTTTGAGATTTTTCTGGTGGTTAATATTAGCTAAATTCTTATTGTTAAACAAAAATGAATATAGGAATACTCAAAATTCCTCATTATAACAAGGATTTAGTTATATGAACCTCCATATTCAGAACATTTTTATATTACGTTTCTATCATTGTGATACAACAACTGTAAAGGGAGTATATAATTTTTTAAAAAATTTGTTTTACATTTTTTTTAAAAAAGGGAAACAGAAATTCTTATTACCTATTTAGGAAAGATTCCTTGACTCTATTAGGAAGGACCAGTAGCAGAGGGGCAGTGGGTTCAGGCCCTGTCTGCCGCTGTGATGGGTTTGTCATCTGGAGACTATGGAACAGGGAGAATCTACATAATCTAGTTTCTGGGACCATCTGAAACTGGGGAAGTCAGCTTTATTGTTTCAAAGCCTACCTTTGAAGGCTAGATGATGATGGTGACAATGACGACGACGACGATGATGATGATGATTGTCTTTCCTCACTGTCTTTTCTCGCTATTCTGTTGTCTTTATCTCTGCTCCGACCCTCCAATGTTAAGTTCCCCCCTTCCTCTTAGACTGATAAAGTGAAGATCAACACAATTAGATGTTAGACTCTGGTTTACAGATTTCCCTAATGCAACATCCTGGAAGTCCTTCCTGGTCTTGTTCTATGTGTGGGAGAGTCTGCTGTGGCTAGCATGTGTGGCTGTGACAATCCTGGTACTCATTGTGTCATTCCTTCTTGCCTCCTCAGAGGACCTACAGAGCTATGTACGATTACAGTGCCCAGGATGAGGATGAGGTCTCCTTCCGAGATGGCGACTACATCGTCAACGTGCAGCCCATCGATGACGGCTGGATGTATGGCACAGTGCAGAGAACTGGGAGAACGGGCATGCTCCCAGCAAATTACATCGAGTTTGTGAATTAATTCCGTCTCCTTGCCCTTTGAGCTTTATTCTAATGTATCCCAAACCCAATCTTTTTAAAAGATAGAAGACACTTTTAAGCAACTTGGCAATTATTTTACAACAATGTATCCTTACTTTGACAATTAGACACACAGGTACCAGGAAGGAGGAGTGAATTTTGGCTGACTAGAGCAGCATATTCAGTAATTCCTGTAAACAAAAATCATTACTGTCTGGAGACCTGGTGCTGCTAATTGTGTTTGTGGTTTCCTTTGATTGGTGATTGAACCCTTCTGGGAAATGTATTTTTGTAGACTTTAATAGAGACGTTGATTGTCCCTTCAATGTAATGAGTGTGTGAAACTTCTTAGCTGTCACTTTGGAATCACCAGAAGCCAATTCTCAACTCAGTAACACAGCCAATAATTTAAAAACCGTTTAGCTTTTGAGTCATTAGGCAATTTCCAGTTCAACTGAAAATTGCCTACTATAATAAAATGTAAGCAGTGGCAGAATGATAGTCTGCTTAAAATTTTATTGACTGGTAGCCTTAGGGACCCAACAGGAAATTTCCTGGATCCCAAGGCTGACTGGAATCTGTTTATTTCTCACTTGCACCAAGGCATATCCTACTCCCCATTTACGTTCTGTGGACTCAAGTACTGCCCCGTTCCACAGAACATCAGGACCAAATAACTTCACAGCTACTCTGTAAAGGGCAAAGATTAATGTCATCTGTATTATTTCCCTAGTAGTGTTTACCCTGTTGCATGTCACGTAGGTTCAAGTTTCTGTATCATAGACAGCTGCACTGCCCATTCCTGTTGTTAAAAGCAAACAGTGTGGCTGATATCCAAAGCCCTCCCCTGTAGCTGCCAGCGCATCAGAAAAACATATATTGAGAAGTTGCTTGAGATTTTCCTGCTGTATTGCACTGTAGTTTTGAAGGATTTACACCTTAGGAAATAGATGTATACTCTAATAAATAAGTGATTTAGGTATTTATTGAGCGGCTTTCATTAACTTAATGCTGCTGTTGATTTAAAAGTGAAGAAAACTTAATATAATCCAGTGGAAAAAATGGCATATAGAGTGTACTAGGAAAAACCCCAGCAAACAAAAGTTACCAACTCCATATAGAGATGGTCTGGTTTTCTTATTTTGGAAAATGGTCTTCAAATTCTGGAATGGGATTCTAGCCATTAAGACTGGTTAATCAAAAAGGCTTTCTTTCTACTCTGTGATTTTTATTTTCTAAATCACATTCATAGGAATGCCATCAGAGATTTTTCAGTACAAGCCAAACAGTTTGTCTACTGAAAAAGACATGGTTGGCATGTTTTGGGTGACTTTTCAGGCATTTGCTAGATTCACAGCCATAAGTGTAACCTTTGCTGGTGGGTGTTGGAATTTCTCCTGGAGCCTGCAGTCAAGGTCACCAAGAGTTTGGTGTCTGTTGACAATTCTGTGTTTTTCTGATTGTGCCCTTTATTGTGACGTGCAACAGGGTAGCATTTGTGTAGAATCTGACTCTATAGTTGTGATGAAACTGAAAAAAAAAATGAAATTGCAAAAATAAAATGTATGGGCATTGGGGACATATTATTTGATATATTCAAGGAAATTAACAAAACAACCTATAAAACAACTTTTCTTGAATGTTTACTAGTCTAAAGGCCAAAGCTGGTTCATTAGCACCTTGGAAGAGTTAGCACATATTTTTGAAAATCTATAATTTCCCCCCTTTTTTACATTAAAAGATCAAAATAAGCTTTATTGCACTAAAGCTGTTTCTACAATACATTGATATGCAATTTAAAAGAGAAAAATTCAGGCAAAGATCTTGAGGTATTTAGAAGAGGTTTACAGATTACCAGATAGCCAGTGCAACTGATTTTCTGTCATTTAAATGGCCAGTCATAATTAAACTGATTAAACTCTATATCTGTTTTGCTGTCTTGTATAAATGCACAAAGACAACTGAACTTGCAATAATTTTGCAAAAATTTGTGCATTAAAATCAAGGGCAATAAGCCTGCTTAATTTGATTAGATTAAGAATGTCTTTAAGTTTTGCCCAGGTGGACCTCTTTTTTTTTTTTTTTTTCCCTCCTTTTTGGTGATCATTTAAAAAAAAAAGTAGCCACTGATTAAATTTCGGACTTAATATGGCAGAACAGGTACAATTTTTAGTAAATAGCACATATATTAGGAAGTTCAAAGGAACTAACTTAAAATAATACTTGTCATCAGGAAAGTTACCATAAAGTAATAGTTTGATGGTTCATGTTTTTCTTATCCATTGACTTTAAAATCAGATTCATTAAATGTAGAAGTCAGTACATGTGGAATAAGTGCTCTAAAATTTTAAGTTTCATATAATGTTTGCATAGCAAGCTGTTTCAGCTTCAAGACTCTAGGAATTAAGATCTGATCAGAATTCAGCTAAAGGGCAGTTATTTTCAATAAAGACTGAGGCAGAACAAGATATTGCATGCTTTTGAGATTAAAATTCGATAATGGTATCGTTACTAACGCTTGTGAGGATATTAAGCATCTCAGCAGAATATAAGCAACACGATACCAAATTGCTACTTTTACAGCCTCATTTTTTTTTTTAAAAAAAGCTACATTCTCGAACAACTTTTCTACTTTCCATATGCCTCCTGCCCACCTTTAATTTGGCAACAGATATCTCATAAGTAACACAGCTAAGGGAGAATTTTAAAACGCGTCTTTTAAAAATCAAGTTAAAGGCGGCTGTGTAAGTGCTAAGCACAGAGAGCATGCACCCGATTCCTTAGTGTGCCCTCAAGCCTGACAAAAGCACAAGGAACAGTTTGATACACTTTTAAAAAGTTTCTGAAAACAAAGCTGTTTATGGATCATATTTCTCTTGAGAAAAGGATAGCAACAGAATATATTGCTTTCATTGATAAGTATTTGTAGTACATATGGTTTTATTTTATTTTACTTACTAATTCTTATTCTCTAGAAAGCTGTCTCCCCTATGGCAAAGTGAGTTCTTCATGTCTCCTTGTTATTGTGTGCACATCTGCAGCATAGCCCAGTTTGAAATATTTATCTGGTTGTCAGCCCTCCACAGAGGCCTGCATCTTACCATGCCTCCCAACCTCCAGACCACACAGGGACTTGGAAGCACAGTTTCTTTAAGCACCTTGTATGAATATGGATGAGATTAGACCAGCCCCTCTCTTGCTTCTACTTACATGGCTTGAAGATGATGAAGATGTGGTTCTGCCAGTTTTACCACATTCTTTCTTTCCTGGTCCTCTCAGTGTTGAGCCTTACAACACTCAGGGAATTAGGAAGAAGATTTTTTTTTTCCAAAAGAGTTAGTGGAAATTCAAGAGTTGTACCTCGTTTTCAAGTTCATCCATCTCCAATGGAATGTTTTTAATGAAAAGATAAAGAAAATGGATATGATCTTCAATAGCACATCCCTATAGAAAGTGGATGTGGTTTATACCAAAATCATAATTCAGATATATAAAAAAGGTGCCTTTTTAATTGCCCTTGTTTATCCATTATGATCTTAGAAAGAAAACTAAGCAAGCAAGCTTCTGCCTATTCTATAGTAATATTTTATTATATGATTCGTATTTTTGTGGTGGGGAAGTGGGATGCTCCTGACAGATATTAAAGGTGGTAGCTGATTGTATTTTACCTTTAAAGGTTTAGAACTTTATAAAATGCTGACTTCTGCTATCTATTTCTGAAACATTCTTTGTGGATTTATATATAGTTAAGATGTAATAAATGCTAATTTGGGGATTTAAAATATCTATTGTAAGATAGAATGATTATATTATGAGACTGAATTCACTACATAAGATGAACTCCATAAGTTAATTATACTTTTGCATCTGATAATCTGAAAGTGACTAGACAGGGGTTGTTTGGGGTCATATGACATGATGATGATAAAACTTTAGCTAAGTAAGAAACTAGGTAAACTAACTTAGGGATGCTGAAACGAGAATCTCTTTCTGAAGTATTCCATGCCCTTTAAGACCCTTTTGAGCAACTATTGATGATCAAAAAAGTCAAGACATTGTATGATTTTTTTATTTTTTTATGGTCATCATTCCATGAAACTTAGACTCCTGGAATCCACAAACCTGGAAGGATCCCTGGCACGTATTCTCCCTGGTTGTCCATATTACTTCAGTATATTCATGGGAATTTCATAGGCTCTTTTGTGTTTGATATGTGGTATCCAGTTTGCATAGTATAAACTGTAATCCAATTGTTGTTAAGAATGATTTACTTTAATGAGAAAAGAGAAAACTGCTCCCCAGGCCCATTCCTGAGTGTCCCTACCATGAATAGCTGAGCATTTTGGAAGCAGCACCCAGTATGTAATGGGCATGATATGTGTGGAATTGTCGGTCTGTGATATAAATGCACATTTAATCATTGTGTAGCTTGACTCCTGATTGCTTCAAAATATGTAGTGTTATGGTGGATTAATTTGTGAGATTGTACTAACTTTGAGAGCATAACAGTTGTGAAGGAAACAATGGTTTTCAAATGAAGGGGCTTACAGAATGATATGATGTTATTAATATAGTTTGGCTTTTGTTATACAAATTGTTAACACCAGCTATTAAAATATATTTTAGTAGAAAGGCTTTAATCATGTTTTTTTCCTCTACACTGTGAATCTTTTAAGCCTTGGTGGACTAGAGAAACATTGTGCTGCCCAAAGGACTAACCTATGCAAACGAGTTCACATTTCAATGGATGTCACAGTAAATGTGTAACAAGACATACTTTCTCCTGCATTGAAATAATACATTAAGCCTAGCCTCCAATATGTATAGTGTAGTCACTCACAAACCGACCATACTCATTTAGTATTAGTATTTGTTTCAAAGTAAATCTCTTGTTTCAAAGTAAATCTATCGAAACTACTTGAACAATGTTAGAATAAAAATGACAAACGGGTATATGTTGGCCATGGGTCCCTGCAAGTGGTCTCTGATGGTAGAACTGTGTTCTCACATGCACTCTCTTTAGGGTCTAAATATTCTGTTTCCTCTTTCTGTATTTGTAAAACATTATAATGCATTAATTTCCTATTACCCATTTGGTTTGCTTAAATAAATGCAGGATATAACAAAATGGTTCTACTTCTTGACTGTCACCGTGGTTTCTCGGAGCACAAGTCACTAGACACAGGGTCACTACCGAACCCGACTATAGCCTGGGTATTGGGTTTTAAACTCGTGTTAAACTGCATCAAAGCTGAATGCTGGTTTGGGCCAGTCATTTCAAATATGCCCCCCTTCCCCAACCCAGAATGAACTTAGTTTTAGGTGATAATAATATGATGCTTTTTCAAGCTTAGTATCTTACTGATTTCATATCAAAGTACTACAATCATGCATCATTGTAGTTAACTTCTTTCAGGATTGAATTCCTCACATGTCCTCACTAATACAATTCTAATTTTCTTGTTTTCGTAAGATGAAAGAAACAGCTTGGAGCAAAAAAAAAAAATGCACAAATTGAATACATGAAGTGGAAAGATACTCTGATCTCTGCTAAAAATGGCTCATTTGTTGTAGAAAATAATTGCTTCCCTCCTCCAATTTTCCCATAGTTGAAAAAGTGAGTTCCTATTTTTGCCCTCATATAAATTTCAGTAGATTAGGTCTTAGCCTTATCATATTATTTTGTAGAAGTTCCTCTTTGGTGCAAAGTCCTTACTAATTGTAAACTAATAAGCTTTATGGATAACACCTGCTCTTAGAATAAACACTTCAACCAATTCTTGAATTTCCTGTTTTTTATATGTCAAAAGTATGAATTGTATATTTCATGTATTATTAATCAGACTCATGATATTTGAAATTACAAAGCAGCACAGTTACTATTTATTTGAAGAATTTCCTATCTTTTTCTGCCTCCAAGACTTTTTTCTTTCATGATTATAAATTTGCTCTTTGAAACTCTGGTGGCAGAGGAAATAATTAACTTAAGAAGATTTTTGCTTTTCTGACCTTAAAAACGTTAGGTTTAGAATGTACAGTGTTTATGACTTTATCGTGCTACCTTATAAATTTGTGAAGTTGGTGTTTTGTATAATTGAGACGTGAATGATCACCAGAAACCTACCAAAACAGTGTTCTACAAAAACACTCAGACATAACGAAATGAAAAGTAGATAAAAGCAAAGTTTTGTTCCTTTGTTTATGTAATCTGCTTCTCCTACTCAGAAAGGTTGAGTAAGGGTTTTGTGGTGGCAGAAAACTGGACATGGTCCAAGGGTGAACGTCAATTTTTTTTTTTCTGTAGTTCCAAGAAAAGTTCTCAGGCCTTTGTCTATTATATTTGTATTTGGAAGCAGTAAAGTTTGGATGAAAAAATAGAATGAGGAAATGGATTTAGAGGGTAAAAAGTCAATATTAGAACAAAGGACCTAGTTGCTGATTTTTGTGTTTATATCATGGCATTTTGATCTTTGTGGCTTTTTTCCCCCGCCCTTGGAGTAGTGAACATAAAAGAAAATAGCAGGACTGAAATAGAGAAATGAGCAGAATCTGAACTCCTCAAACTTCCTTTTGGGACGACAGGGAACTTTAGTTATCAGATTGATCTGCCAATGAACTCCTTTGTGATTCTTGCTTCAGGACTGCCACCCTTCTTGCCTGTTTCTGGGGGGAGGTTGCTGTCCAAGGCCATGTGTCCCAAATCAATGTTCCTTAGGTATGAATAGCCAGGTTCTGTCCCACACCATATCAGTTCTCTGGTCACAGGTGACTAGATCAATGTGGCACAGGGGCAAGGGTGCCTGAGCCTGTCCAGACCTCCCGGAAGAGACCTGAGTTCAATATTCAGCACAGGTTGGTTAAGTGGTTGTATTAGTAAGAACTGAGACACAGAGAGAAAAACTGAAGGAAGCACCATCTGTGATGGAGCAGAAATTATGAGTGAGAAAAAGCCGGGAGATGGGGAAAGATATTTAGAGAAGACACAGGAAAATGTCATGTAGGTGGCTGTCAGTGGCAGGGGCTGTGGAATGATGGGAGGAAATGGAGTCTCATTAATGGTGGGTCCTTCTTGGAGCCACCAATTCCTGCTGCTCAGGAAGTGCCCACGTGACTTCCTAGGCATGGCAGCATTGCCCACCTTGGAGGTCACCTCCTGTGCTGTCCCTGCATGTCCACAGGGCCCCCTTGTGAGGCCAATCGCTACGTACATTTCTTTCCATTTTTGTACGTAAACCTTCTCTTCCTTTAGGTGTCTTTGAGGGCTTCTCTGCCTTGTCATTTCAGAAACTTGGCTAACAAAGCCCCTATATATCCACTGTCACAAGCTATAGGTTTTATGTTTTAATATTTGACAGATGAAATAACTTGACAAGGAAGATTACTTGACAAGGAAGAAATTTCCCAAATGTTGAAAAGATGTGCACTGTGTCCTCCCAAGGAAATACAAGATAGCAAATGTGACTGAAAGGCCAGTTGCATTATCTCAGTTAAAATGTCACATGGGTTGACATCAAATTTTACTGTTGTCTGAAGTTTTATTGTTTTTTTGTGTGTGTTATCTTATTTAAAATTTATTTTTCTCTTTCCACATTTTTTTAATCGGTGCATAGCATAATAGTTGCACATAATGATGGGATTTGTTGTTATTTATACATACATGCACACAATGTAACAATATAAGTTGGCCAATCTTACTCCCGAGCACTTCCCCACTCCCTCCCTACCTCCCATTCTATGGTCACTTTCCTCTACTGAACTCCCTTTTATTTTCTTGTTGTTGTTGTTGTTCTTATTAGTTATAAATAATGGTAGAATGTATTTTGACATATTCTACATATATGAAGCATAACCTCATTCTTCTGTTTGTACATGATGTAGATTACATTGGTTGTGTAATCATATATGCACATAGGATAGTAATGTCCCATTCATTCTACTATCTTTCCTATTCCCATTCCCCTTCGTCTAATTCAGAGTACTTATATTCTTCCCTATCCCTCCTGCTCCCCAGAAAGTGATTTCAGTTAGTAGTTTGAAGGTGATTTCCTTGGCCCTGTGTTTGGTATCAATAATTAATATCAAACAGATTTAACATTCATCTGTAGGTATATGCAAAGAAACAATTTGAGGACTTAGAGAATCTCTTCATTGATTTCTAGATGCTTGTAAAGAGGAAGGAAATGGCTGGGGCCACCTCAGGGAGTGTTGTAGCTTTGGTGTTACCAGTTGAAAGCTGAACTTTTTGCAGTGATATCTCTTGATTAAGGTGGAAGACGCAGTAGCTGCAGTTTATTCATTCACCATATATTCAGTGTTTACTCCATTCAGGGAACAGGACAAAGGAACTTTCCTCACAAAGCATTCTTACTGCTGGGGAAGACTGATATTAAACAACTAATTACGTATTTCTTCAATTGATTGCTTAATTACGGTCTAAGAGATGGAATGAAAGGGAGCATCCTGAGTTCTTGGAGCTGGGAAGGGGTGAAGTGTAGACTGGGGAGGGGAGGCAGCTCCTGGAAGACCTCTGAGCTATTGTAGCTTGAACTGAGCTCTAAGAGCTGCAAAGATCAATCAGCTCAAGTCCATTTTGGCTTTGGACACATGGGAAAATTTAGTCACCAGCAGTGAATGGGGCGGAAATGCCCCACCTTCTCTCAAGTTTTAAACAGCAAGAGTAAGTTTTTGTATTTTTCACAAAATTAAATTATTGGTGGACAATAGTCAGGATTTGCATGTGCATAAATTTTGGTGGACATTTACCCTTTTATTATTCTAATTATGACTTTTCCCACTGGAAAAAGACTCGGCAGGCTGCAGAGTTAATTATATAAAGTTTCACAGAGATGGAATACTTCCTTATTTGGATAATTGGTTATCCCATAAGTTTCCCTGTATCTTTACTTTCTCCCTTGAATATTTTCAGAAGGTACTTACTGGAGCTTATCGTAGCACTGTCTGCAGCGTAGCCTTTGATTAAAATGCTATTATGTCCTGGTTTAGACTTCACGGATTCAGGGATTGTCATTCCCATCTAATATGTGATCTGAGTTGGTTATGCCACATTAACTGAGCAATGCAGGGAAAAATTATTCACAATGCAAGAAAGCCATTGGTATTAATTTAGAATACAACCTTGCTCTGAGGTAGCTCATAGCTTTGTTTGGAGAACTCTAGCAAGAATTTTGAATATCCACCTTCTTTATAAGTCTAACAGTACATTTGCACCTTTTTCTTTGGGCCATTTAAATACTGATAACATTTGGGCCTGATTCCCCTACTCAGTGCCTAATAAGATACTTGTTGTGGGAATGATTTTCTTGTGGGTGTGTATATGTGTATATAAACCATATTCCCACTGGTTATGTCAATCTTGGTGGGACTGAGGGAACTGAAAACCTGTTGTATAGACTCATTATGTGTGACTCACCCATGAAGCCTCCTTTTTAGAAAAAAAGTCCATGTGCCATGGTGGTAGTGGCCCACTGTGGCTCCTTCCTGCCTGCAACTGTTCTCCATCTTCTGTGACATAGAAGTAGGGTAGAGATGGCCCCTATGATGATTTATTTTCAAAATGGGCAAACAAAAGCATTTATGGTATAAGAACAATTAATTGTATCATTTAAAAATTTTATGTTTGAGGCCTGACATGGTGGTGCATACCTGTAATCTCAGTGGCTCAGGAGGCTGAGGCAGGAGGATTGTGAGTTCAAAGCCTCAGTAATTTAGTGAGGCCCTAAGCAACTCAGAGAGAACCTGTATCAAAATAAAAAATATAAAAAAGGGCTGGGGGGTGTTGCTCAGTGGTTAAGTGCCCCTGGATTGAATCCCTGGTAACAAACAACAACAAAAAAATGTTTTATGTTTGAGAGACACTAAAACATTTCCAGAACTTTGAATGGGGCTGATATAAGTTACATGATCACGACTGAGACCGTCAAATGGTAGTTTCATAACATACAACCCTTGAGAATTTGACAGATTCAGTGTAACTATATTCACACAGAGAACAAAGATCTAGATGATGATGGATTGGGGTCAATGAGGGTGACTGGCATCAGAAGTTCCTAGAGCCAAAGGTGACTATCAGGTAATGATTGTCTGTAGTCAGCAGCATGGTTGGAAGGGAAGGACACAAGTGCTTGAGGTCCAGGCAGACCTGCATGCAGCTCTTGGTGTCTCACTTGGATGAAAAAAACTCAATGTTTTAGTTTTAAGTGGAATTGGATCTTTCAGAATTATTTTGGGATCAGGAAATAGGATCTCCATGGGTTAGCCTTATTCATCTTTTTATGGTTTTGCAATTTAGGGATATCCATAAATCATGTTGTACTCAGTTTTGCAAGTTTAGTTGATTTAGGAAGCACCTGGAAAATGCTGAAAATTGACTGCTGGGGTACACAGGGGTGCACAAGTTGGAATACCATTCTCGAAGGCAGATCATGTGATGCCTCCAATATTATGTGGATTTTTTTTTTAAGTCTGAGAAAGTTATAGGAATTGCGGGGAGCTTAGTAGATGCTCTGTGTTCTGTTGAACATGTGGGTGGCCACATCTTATTGAGGTGGACAAGTTTGAGTTGGCAATAGATCTGACCTTCCGTGCTCATCCTTAGAGCCGTAGACTTTCAGGAGAGCAGGCACCTTTAGGTTCAATCCCACCTTCAGGAAGACAGGGTATAATCGTGTTCATTTTGTAGAAGATGGGGGCCTGACGGAATGGGCGACTTTGTCACATTCAAATGGCACTTAGTTCAAATGGTGATAAAAGCTCAGCTCCTCGGTT